CGAACATGCACAAAGGAATCTTTCGTCATATAAGAGGAGCCTCCATATGTGGTTCACCCAAAGGTTCCTTATCGTTCTTTAGGCAAAACCTTTACATGCGAGACCCTTACAATTGGAGCTTTGAGTTTTGCTCACTAGATAAAAAATTTACCCGCAATTTTTGCCTGTCCATATAAAGAAAATCAAGGAAATAAGATAGAGCACTTCGGAGCAATGTGCTTATTTGCGACTTTTGCTTCTCCATATCCATACTCTCCTCGTACATGACATTTCTGCGATAGCCCACGGAATCGCAACCTCCCAAGAGCAGCTGGCAGAAATAATCTGATAAGCCAGAGGATTATAAACAAAAAAATTTCTTCCCAATGAACCTTGCAGATCACAATCTTCACGGCTTCTTGCAAGCAGCTGGGTCCTTGTTGCGCTACTTCTCCTAGCCGATTTTCTGCTCGTCCGAACGTCGCGATCGCTGATACTGGCTGTTCCATTTCACCTGGCTCTACTGTCTGTATTTCTGACGCTCAACCTTATTATCCATCCTCTAAATCTCATACTTCTGAGCAGAAGTCGGTCAAATTCCCAGGTGAGAGCCGCAAACATTTAATTCCTCCGGCGCTGTACGTCAAAAGCAACTCCAACATTTCTCTGGCGTAACCACTAATTGTTACGGAAAGTGGCCAATTCTTTAAGGAATTGCTCTGAAAGATCAGCAGGACTAAGAGGACAAAACGTGCAGAGTTGCCCTTACATGATGCTTCGAGCTGATGCAGCGAAAGTAGCCAATGAAAGACAAGTGAAAAATAAAATAAAATTTAGGAACCCGAACGTGTACGAATGCTTGAGGAGTCAGCTACAGCATCATTATGGTTGCTGTTAAACAGTCTATCATTCATTATCATTGTGATGATGGTATTTTGGGAGACTAAGAGGAGTAGCAAGGTATATCGCATCTCTTCCATGAGCAACGAGCTGATTTCAAACTTCTTTTCAGGAAGTTGACTCGATCATGGGCATTGAAATGGCCGCCTACTCAGTACACTGCATCGCAAATCCACTTATAGCTGTTATTCGCGACAGAAGACTAGAGGGCACACTAGCGCATATTCTAATGCGGAATAAGCGGTAAGCAAAAATTAGTCCTTTGTCCTTAAAGGTCGAATCGGAAATTTTCACTCTATTCAACACTGCCACATTATACACGTTTACAGATAGGAAAAAAATTTGAGATAAAAAACGTTGTCCATCCTTTTTAGTTCCTCACCTATTTGGCAGAGTTTGATGTAAACCCTAATAAATTCTAGAACAACCGGGAAATGCACAGTGCTTTTTACTCAAACGAAGAACAGCTTGGTTATTTAGTCGCTTCTGTGTTGTTGCTCAAGCTGCGAATTGCCGCAGAAGAGATGGTTAGAGAAATCTCGCAAGTCTTCATCATTAAGGAGCAAACATTTATGAATTCTACTAGCCAGATGATCCTGCAAACGAATTTCCCTTTTAAAAAAACTTCATAAATTTCAAAAGAAGGGAAGACTTTGGCCACAGATACAGCTCTCGCCCCCTCCCACCAAAAAAACCCAAACTCTTCTCTCTAACATAATTTTTTTCAGCCAGACACCCGACGAGGAACTGATAGTGGCGTTAATGAGGGATCCACCCCCACCCTACTCAACGTAGAGGACGTTGACATTACGGCATTTGTTCGCGGATTATTGTACATTATTGTAAAGTTATCCAGACTTCTATTAGCAACGAGTGGAGACGAGTAATTTATAGGTGTATATACACTTATAAATATAAATTAATAAAGACATCGCATACTTGTTCAATATTCTTAAGTACGACTAAACAACTGTCGCAAACGCCACTTAGAAATTCTTCGTATTAAACTTTCTCCATTTATAGTTAAGTGTGGGTTTAAAAAAGTCAGACGTCAAAAAGCTTCTAAAACCCACCTTCAATTTGAGCTTCTTTCGAGGTGGCTGAGGCAAAGACTGACGAACACTCTCAAGCTGTTCCACTCCTGTGCTAACTTCTGAATTCTCAATTACTGGGCGGGAATCAACCCTTTCATGGACTGCATCGTCCTTAAAGATGCGGACATCAGGTAAGTGTGAAAGCAGAAAATGCACTAAGCAGCAACATTCCATTGTATTGCTCTCTTAAGACATACACATAACGACAGCAAACTTTCAGACGCCTCTGTCGATTTTTTATTAGATGATTCGGCCTTATAGGAAGATGATTCAGAGTAGATCCCGTAGTCCAATACGCACCTTGAGTAAAGAGACTTGGCAGATGAAAGAGATGAAATAGATTTATGTATCACCTTTCCTGAACAGATTCTTTCGCTACCATGGCATTAATTCGTTTTCTTACAATAGCTGAACCACTGCTACACTTCACTGCAAGCATCAAAGCGGCATTAGATTTCTGAAGATAGTTGATTTTTTTCCTTCTGCAGAACATAAAAATCCAGAGATCATACCTTAATTTCAACACTTCTCTCAGAGAAAAACCGTCTTGTTGCCGCCATTAATTCGGGGCCTTCATTGAAGACTTTTAACGATCCTCTTAACCAAGATGGAAAATATTCATTCCGGACTTTCGCAAACCTCAAAAGAGTGGAACCTACTAGAAACAAAAGCTACAAAGCAAACAATCGAGGCTCAAAGAACAAGCTAAAAACCTGCACCTCAGCCAGAAAAGGATTTTTTGTTTACATCTCTAACCACACGACTTGTACCTTGAGCTCTTTACAAAATGATTAGCCAAACAACCCTAAAATCGCATTTTTCCAAGATCGCTATTTTAAATGCATTTCTGAGCAAGTATTTGGCTGACCCTGAGGCCTACGGAATTTAGGAGTTGTCTAGCCCTAGATAATGATAAGTACTTTGGAAATTGACACATAGGCCAAATTAATTAACGCTAGCTCAACACAGATCAAACACTCTGCAGCTCTAGAGCTTAGCATAAATAATTTGTAAATTCATGATTAAAATCTCTCTTAGGCGAGTGCAGCCTAAGTTACAGGAAGCTTGCGGTTTATAGCATCTCGCTAAGCTAATTTTGAGCAATAGCTCGAATGAGGGAGGGTGTTGAGGTTACTTCTATTTCCCATCACATCAGTCTAAGTATGCTTTGCCAGCCATTTGACTTTTTTCCAGCTTAATCAGGCATTCTAAACGAAAAGTACTGAGAAAATGAGCGGAAGCAGAGTTCTACACCTTGTCACATCCAATGTTGCTGGAGCTTACATAATCAAGCGAAAAACTCTCGACCGCGAATTTCCTGCAGCAATGGCAACAGATTCACACTTATATGAGACACATTCGCTTTATTTCAGAAATCTATGAACGCAGAAGCTCTGAACCTGCAGAATGATTTTGTTCTGCGCTTAACCAGCATTCGAGGTGATCTAGCATGGCTTATAGTCCTTTTCCGAAGCAACCGGTATTCTGAGGTTAATTCTGAAGTTCCGTTGTTCACGACCAGCTAAGTTCCTGCTCAAAAATGCAATTAGAAAAGCGATTTCCAAAAAAAAATGCTGCTCAAGAGTATTTTTGAACAATAAAGCAGAAAAATCCTTTTCAAACTTCTTCCAAAAATCCAAAACTTTTGAAGATTGATAAATCTATGGCATCAAGAACGTTTTAAAATTTTGAACTAGTACAGATATAACAATGGGTAGCAATGGAAGAAGTGAAAGTGAAAAACGGAACTTCTGCTCTTTTTTTTTTACAAACCGTGAGTCGTCTTGACGCGTTTTTTTTTTTTTCAAGAGCGGCTGTAACAACGACCATCACCGTATAGATGTCAATGAAGACTTGCGAGATCACTTCGACAAGTCCTAAATGTTTGAACAAATTTTAGCACAAATGACGACTGCACACCGCACACATTGCTCAGAGAGCGCAGAGACCCAGTCAGTGGTCAATGGAAAAACGAGCATCTTCTTCGATTGATCTCTACCTTCCGTGAGATTGTGTTACGAATAATCTCTGTGCGTATTATGACATTCCTTATGACAGCAGTTAGCTCAGTTTAAAATCAAATAAGTAGTAGGGGGGTAAAGAATATCAAGCAGAAGGCTTCACTTTCCCACGAAAAAAGATTACCGGAATGGTTGAATGCAATTAGCCTATTCGTTAGCATCTAAGGAGTACAAAATAATATGTTCAACACTCATCAAATCAGCACCTTTCATCCAACAACACCACAATTCCGAAATCATTCACATGTCGTATAACACGTCCAATAGCCTGGTTGACAGCACGATAACCTTCAGTTACGTACCACTCATCCGAAGTTTGTGCCTACATAATCTACCCAATTAAAAAATCTTCACAGTTTTTTAATGTTAAATTCTCTGTTGGCGTACTTACCTTTCTATCCAGCGCTGCTAGTTCATTTATGTAAAGTCGCTTAAGGCAAATTCTAACATCCATGAGGGGTGGGAAAGGTATTCCAACTATGCATACAGCTCTTGAATCAGCATCAGAGAAATCGATTCCTTCACTGACCTAACGAATCTATTTTCACGAGTGAATACAAAAAATGGTCTTCTGACTTGATAGAAAATACTCCATTTTACGTATTTAGATTCGGCTAGTGAAGACAAGAAAAACATGGATGTGAAAAAAAAAGATATAAATTTCATGTAATAAATGCAGGAAACATTTTTTTCAGACCAAATTATCATGAAAATTGGAAAGGGAGCAAACTTTCCAAATCTTCTACTTCTTCTTCTAAGAAAATAATTGTAGAATTACTCGCCTTTCCTCTACAAACAGCAAAAAACATGGCTCCACTTCCGTTGCGAACGCCTTGAGTAAATTCGGACCGTATTTGAGACAACATTTGCTAAAATATCAGAAAAACAAACTGCGGCTATGCAGGGAAAATTAGGAAGCCAGGAAAGTACCTTTTCTTTGGGTTCAATCAAAACTAACTTTTCCTTCGTCATACTTTCCCAGTAAGTCTTTAATGAACCTTTTTTTACTTGTAAAATCTTGAACCTTGATACGAGATGGTGCATAAGACTGTAGGATGCAAAGAAGACCAGTATTCCTGGAGGTTAGATATAATCAAGGATCATCAAGAAAAGTCAGCAGATACCTTGAGGGACGGTGGACGCAAGCGCAAGAATTGATTCCGCAATACCTCGAGCATAGTTGTCGTGACGTCTGATTAGTCAAGCTGTCACATAGATGCGTGTGTTACTAAATTCATTACCTTTCGCTGAATGAACCATTTAACACGCATCCAGTAATTGGAGACTTGCTGAGTACGGCAGCTATTACTTGGTCCCCTTTCGCGGCATGCTCGTTCTCCAATGTGCTCCCAAAATCACTACAAAAAAGTTATACGATCGCTTCAGCTCCAGATTCAATATTCAAGGATAAAAAGTGCTTACAGTCCAATATTTTTAGTAAAGTTTTCCAAGGGGGATAATGTGCCACTAGTGACAATTACTGTTCTTACACCATTCATCTTCAGCGATCGCATAGCAATAGCCGATGTAAAGCACCAGAACTTTAGCGCTGTCTGGAACAGAACAAGCAACCCTAATGCAAGTTTTGCGCAGTACTTTCTTAACATATTTTTGAAATTTACGGAAGATGTTAGCCTCAAAAAAACTAAAAGTGTTTTTACGATGGACTGTCTCATTATCGCCCGAGTAAGAGAAACTTAACCGCCCCACCCAAAGATGACTCGAAAGACCTGTTCTGAGAAATCAACCATAGGCTATAATTTAAAGACAATGTGTAGCGCTTGAAGTTCTGTCTGAACTATTTGCCTTCCGACATCCAAGGGATTTGAAGTTTCAGATATTCTTTCTTAAACTCAACTTATAAGTTGTTTCATTCCACTAAATTAGCTAGAACACAGCACTGTTGTATAACTTGACATGATACCAAATGCTGGATGATGTATTAACCAAATTCTCTTATATATCTTTCCTCACTCTGTATCAATATTTGATGCTGAACAATCGCATCACATTTCATCTGTTCCTTCTGTGAATAACTCCACCGTGTTCATCCTACAAATTTTCTAGGCTTTCCGAAAACGAAACTGAGTATAACCAAAAGAGGTTTCAATCCAGCTTCGGTGACACGATTAGTCAGTCTCTTTCTCTGCTGCTCATCTTTCGATGACTGCTCGTAGTTGAAAGTACTTTTGTTAATAAAGCCATAGTTATCTTGGTACTGTATCGAAAGCTTTTTAGCAGGGTATTTTGATGATTTCTGATCGAACATGTTATATAGGAATTGCTAAGAGTGCACTTTTGAATGGCTGCTTAGTTTTTGAACATCTCTGGCCAGTATGTCGGGTTGCATCAGGGCGTTTTTGCATTTTTTTTCTTTTATTTGAGCTATAAAATATTTCGCCGTTTTTTTTTTTTAAATTGCGAGTAATCACTAGATGAAATGCGGAGATAGAGGGTGCATGTTGTGTGTTTTGCTTTATGTTTGTAGTATCCTCCAACAAAAAAGAAATGATACCTTTGTATGTTACGAATTCTTGCAGAAATCAACTGACAAGATCATTAAATAACAGGCAAAAGTTTTTGTCCACATGGTTCGGTAGCGATGTTCCGTGGTTTCAAAAAAATGTATAAGCACTCATAGTACCGACTCATCTAAGCTTACAGGTAGCTGCATTCTCTGACTATTTTTGGAAAACTCAGCTCACTTTAAAAAATACAGTATAGTATGTATACTGGGAATCTAAATCAAAATTGTCTAAAACAAGATTGCGTAATTGAATAATAGAATTTCCGAATAGCACAAAAACCAAAAGTATTGAGCCGATTTGTTCGATTATGATAGTAATGATAACAAATCTTTCAATACTCGAAAAATTATCATTTCTACAAGGATCCGCCTTGTAATTTCTAGAATGCACGCATTCGGCACGAGTGTTCGTCAACGAAAGAAGAGAATGTCTTATACTCACACAGGCGGGTTTGGTGGCCGTACTCTCTTCTTTAACCATATAGAGTTTGAAATGAAGTCCGACCCGTCTTGCGTCCATATCAACTTTTTCGGACTTGATGACATTGCCATTTATTGACTAAAATTAACGTACGTACCCAGCATATGACAGGTGACTTCAGTTACCTTTCTATTCGTTATGGCTAGAGCGGCTTCCTTGGAAAGGCTTATATAGACCACAGATATGAAGTTTTTCAGCATTTCTAGATTCTTCCCCCGTTCAGCTGACGACGGTTTCAAGTCGGCTGGAACCTGACCAATATAAGCATCCGAAAGCTATGGCAAACCAAGCTCCCTTGCTTTCTTTTTGTAAGTAATCTATGATATTCGTAAGCAAGACCATGAAGGCGTCAGCTTTGTCAAATGAAATTCCAGCATCCTCAAAAGTTTTAAGAAGACGATCACCAGGATATACCTGCATTAAATAAGAATAAATGACAGCCAAAAAATTGATTAGTTTTGCATGAAATGAGCAAGTGATCACTCTTACCTTTCCGGGAATATCTTGTAAATTCAGACCTTTTTTGTCGTTGTAGGTCTCCTCCACTTTCGTCTCTAGTTCGAAAAGCATATCTTGATAATGAAAATATGTGAGACATAACAATTCTAATAAGATATTAATGCTACATACTCAGTAGTACAGCTGCTTCTGAAACTTGAAAAGGTGGTCCTTTCGGCTTCTCCCCATCAATTACCAGTCCTGTACTAAACGCTTGAGACGAATTATCCTACAAAGAAAACACAACCCAATAAAAATGTTTTGTGAGAGACTT